CTGATGAGAATGCACCAGATCTAGATGCAAGACACAGATTCAGTGGCCCATTGAACCATCGATGATGACCTCCAATCAATATGGATGTAATTAAACCCAATCATCAAGAGTTAAGGCAATTACTGACTGAAAGGAAGTTGCAATCCTTGCTTTCAGTTCAGGTGAGATTAACAAATTTGGGAAGCATGTTCTTACTAGTTTGCATTACCCTTTGTGCCAAACCATCCAGCTATGGACAGTACCAAAGTATTGATCACTGAGTAAGCCTCAGCTCATTTCATGAAATAGTCAATGGCAATGAGTATGTATCAATATAACTGTTCAGTCCTCAGACGTGGGATAGCAGTATCCTCTGTAGAGGAGACCCAACAATTCTATACTGGAATTTATTCTGTCTCAGCTGGCTTTATTTTCTGAGCATTACACATCTTATAGTGTTCACATCAGTAGAAAATATCTTGACTCAAACATGGCCAGTAGAACTGCTGTTGAAGGTTAGTGCAAGTAAAGTGCCCTCCAGTTTGTGACATACAAAATCTGGAGAAGTTCTTGCCTCAGAGGTATGGGGATCACTAGCTACAGCAAAGTTTGAGAATCACAGTTTGGGAAAGCACATTTTCCTGTAATCATAGCTGAGTATACTAGTGCCACAGATTACATGCATCTGTTCTAGATTCCCATATTTGTGCTGGCTGGGCTTTACTTTGCTTCATGGTAAGGACCACCCAAGATAGATCTGAGTCCTTCAGTTGCTCTTCCTGAAGATCCCAAAGTGTTAATTGGTGCATCCATCCACTGGTGTAGTCTCCTATTGCAATGGATTACTTTTGCTATTTTGGAAATGTTTCAAGTCCTACACAGTGCCCAGGATCACACTGTGCAGCAAGGCAACCTGTCCATTTTTCTGTGTTGTGGGCTGGCCCAAGCAATACACTTTAACAAAGTCATGTTCTCACAACACTATCATAAAACATACTACCATCCCTTCTGAAACCATTTCAGCAAAGCATGGTCTACTCAGGGAGTGAATCTCCTACCATACAAGTAGTGTCAACAGTACTTTAAAACAGTTACAACAGCAAACATTTCTTTCTTCATTATACAGTAGCTGCATTCAGGAGTTGAAAATGTATGACTACTGCAGGTGGGTAACTGTACTACTCCATCCTATAGTTATAACACTGTCTCAATTCACTATCATTGACATCTGTGTCCAATAGGAATTTACTGTCTTGTTGTGGATATGCAACAAACTATTGGTAATACAGTACAAAACTGACATATACAATTCTATTTTCACTATTAGCCTCAGTTACCTTCTACTGTGCTTACCACATGGATGACAATCCCAGCATAAAGCTGGATAGCTAAAATCCTATAATTACAAAACTACATCAAACCTGACCACTCCTGGGTTAGATAACTACCTGAGCTAATGTTGCTTGCTTTCTGGACAAGAAACAGTTTATTTCATGTGTGGATTCTTTAACCTTGTTACACTGTACCAACAAACTGACATCATTCCTAATACATTACAACATAAAGATGGATAGCCAATCACCAATACTTAGAAAAAAAAACACCAGATCTCATCCCTCTTTGGTTAGATAACTACCTGAGCTAATGCTACTTGCATTAAGGACATGAAACAGTTTATTTCATGTATGAGTTATCTAAGAGAACCTTGATACATTGCAACAAAACACTAACATCATCCCTAGTAAACTACAAAACACCACTTGGTACTGTGATTCCCTCAGCTCCATGCACTTGTGAAGATCACTGTTCCCAAGCTCAAATTGCCCAACATCAAACAGCTAACCTGTGGAACATCATTTCACTAGTTTCACAGTCAAAATTAACATTGGTTGATAATTTCCACAATATGTCCATCCTAGGAATGCCAGAAATGAGGCTTGAGATTACCACTTTCATTCAATGAGAAACATCTCCTACACACAGTTGCAGATCTGATTCTCCACTCATGTCAGGTCTATAACCATTCACCAGAACAAAATTGGCATCTGATCATAATGGTGGTCTAGTCTGAAGGGCCTGATATACTGCAAGATCTACCATAATTTTCTTCTGCTTCTGTATCAACTAGGAATTCAACCTCTTGCCTTTAAGTCTTTACAGGTATGTACAAAACTCCACCCAGCACTTACAGAACTGAGATTGACACCAAACTCTTTGCCAAAAGCTATCTGTTTTGCTCTCACAAGTCAGTGTCCAGAACTGACTTAAGCTCCTTTAGCTTCTAGAGCTCTAGTAGCAGTTTTTCACTTGCCATTGGTTCTCTTGAAACTGCTAAGCCATTGGTCACAACTAATAACCTTGCACACTCTGCTGCTCACCATATTATGCTGTTAATTCTTCTGCATGTGGTAAAAACTGATAACTTGCTGTTTGGCAAAGTTATGAGAAGTTCACTTGAACATAATCCAACATACCACACCCAAAGCATAAGTCTTGTCTTTCTTCCAGACTGACACCCAGATGGAGGCATCACTGGCATAGGCTACAGCATGAAAACCAAGGGTCCTATAGCTCTACCCACTGACAGGAAATCGGTGTGGTTGCATTGCAGCACTGGGATGCATGGGTGACTGGTTAACCTTCTGCATGGCTCAAGTTCAGCAGGATGGAAGTATCAGGGTATGACAGTACATTAAAAGTGCAGCCACTGCAGCTTCCATTAGAGGCTTCTTCTTCTCTGGCAAACAGTATTTAGCAGTTCTTACTATTTTTCAATGGAAACTGCAAAATAAGGGTGAAAATATCTTTCACACTCAGGTAAAAGCTCATCATTTAACTAGGAAGTTCTTCAACAAATTTATCCATGAAGATGCTTTTTCACTATCTTTGGAAGCCATTGTAAAGTATGTTTTATCGTGCAAAAGGCACAGATAGTTTGCATACATAACCAGTCTCAGTGGCACCTTTGTTCTGAGCCTGAAGCTCAGCCAAATGGAATGCTTAATTTTCCATCATAGGTGAGACTCAACAATGACTGTAACCCAGTTTTACAGTTTTTGTTACATCTCACTTAGGTGCCAATGGAGTCTGGGACTGGACTCTCCAAGATCAGGATCATGTATTGGATTGCTTACTCCATAGACCAGCTTTCCCAATTAGTTACAACTGATAATGCTTCACAAAATGGCCAGGTCTTCTTTTGCAGCACTTTTGAACATTGGGAGTGAAATCTGCTTTGTCACACAAAAAGGGATCTATGATTGCAGTCAATCCTCTTCCTTGTGGGTTCCTGGGTTATCCCTGGCTGAGATGCTGTTGACATCATGGGTACAGTGCTGTAAGCATACACAGAAACTCTAACCCTTTGAGGAGAAATCAGTCTATACTACAGGGTGGCAATGAGAAAGGTTACACATAGTTGCTCATTCATCAGTCCTGCACAACCCCATATTTCTTTGTGGTCTACAGTCATCCTGGCAGGATATCTAATGGCTTGGAGAGGCTCTTGAATGTCCCATGGCTCATGATATTACTAATTTGTGCTTTTTGTCTCAAATGTCAAAGAAACAGCTCTGTCTGACAGACTTTATTCACCAGTGGCATTTCCAGCCTTCAGATATTCTCAAGTGGTTTTTACCAGAGCTGGAGTAGTGTTACTCTGGTTAGTGATGGCTTGGGAGTCATGTACAGATGGCCCCATACAGTTTGAAATGCCATTCCACCTAGGCAAACTCTCAGTCATCTGTGCTTCTCAGGGCTAATGCCCATCTGCTGTTCTGGAGACACCAGATGTTGCCTGATCTTCCTCAGTCTGCTTTGAGAGATCAAATTTAAGGCACTTTGCAGCATTGGAAAAATTTCAATGTCCAGGATTGGTTTGGTTTGTTTGGAATTTTGTGAAAAGCTATCTTTGCTAACTGACCTTAATTTAGCAGTGATAGACTAGAGGGGAGGTAGCTAGTCAACATCACCCACCCCAACACTTGGGCTACTCTTTTACCAATGAATAATGGGATTTACTGTCACATTATATGCCCCCTATAGCTGAAAGGATGAACATGTTCAGTGATGGGGATTTGAACCTGCAACCCACAGGTTACGAGTCGAGCATCCTATCCACCAGGCCATGCCAGGCATACAAATGTCTAGGAGAGAACTTCTCTTAGACATAACACATTCTCATACAACTGTATCTCGCCTTCTCAGTCCAGAATACTGGTACTTGCAGAAAAATGTCATTGTTTAAGTAAAAAGCATTTCTTTGAATTATACAAGAGTTAAAAGTAAGGACAATGCACATGTTAACAGGAAACAGAAATTTCACAATAATATTGTTTGATCACGATATCAAAATAAATGAAGTAGAAAAAAAAAAAGATAAAATCGTGTGATAATCCACAGAATTTTATCAGTCATAGTCTGGTTGTTGCAAGTATCATCTTTGCATTCTCTATATACCTATAGTTTATCCTGAAAGATACATGAAATCTTAAAAGTTTTTTGAAGAGATTTTCATAAAATAATAACAAACACAAAAATAGAGAGAGCTAATAAGCTATCCTAGTTACTGCCTTGAAGATTTGAAATTCCTTTCACCCAAAGTTAATGGCAGTAGTAGTGAAATATATAAAAAGTATTTTTATTATAATAACCACAAATTTCATTAGAAAAGAAAAACAGACAGATACTGTTAATCATATTAGCTGAAACTAACACTTGATAACTAGTATTATGGAAATGCAACAGTTCTTGTCTGATTACTTTATGTTGTACTTGTAAAAACAAAGAGACCTTGTCAGATTACTTAAGACTAATATTTAAAGCACAATAATGCAAAAAGTAGCAATATATTAATCTACCAGTTCTTTGTAGATTAGTTTAGAATATTTTGTAAAAAGAAGTACAAGCATATAGTATTATTATTATTTCAGGTAGTACTGAGTGTGAGCTAGGTTGACTCCTAATTAATACACATACACTGGTTACGTAGTGAAATACGTCAATTTAATTACATCCCTTACTTGTGTAAAAATTCCTTCTGGGTGAACTGACAACTCCTGTGGTTTAAATGACATTCTCTTTTCTATCATTTCCATTCGTTCCAATAGGGAAAACTTTAATATACTTTCTAAAAAAAGAGAAAAATATATATGTAAAACTTTTACATAAAATGTTCATACATATTGTATACATAATAATGAATATAAGAGTTTGTAAGATTTGCAGTGAAAACTAAATAAAACTGCATTCCTTTCACTGAGACTATGTGTTTAAAAAATAACTAACAAAGAAACATGTGCATGTCTCTACTAAAAACAACTAAAACATATCTAGTAGAGTATGAATTATTATTAGAATTAATAATTAAAACACTTGTTCTCCTTGAAATATTCTTTAAAACATGCTATAAAGTACATATAAGTATGTTAATAATGTGAACAATATAGCCTAAAACATCAGTGTTTTTAGAAATATAAACCTTGTCTAAGTTTAGACACAAAAATAAGAAAAGAGAGTGACAGGAAAATGTTATGGCATCATGAAAAATTTCATCAGTAAAGTCAATATTAAGTTTTCTAGCTTCGAAAAGTATTAAATTTAAACTTTGATGATATATGATAATCTTCACTAGTGGAAAGTGAAACTGGCAGTAAACAACATAAATTATTCTTTAAAATATCTAAGAACAGCTATAAAATAAATGTAATCCCTCTATTATCACCATAAATTACAAGTAATAAAAAATTATGAAGACAGCAATTTTAGCCTGGCGTGACGATTTGTCTTGATGGACATAATATCACGTGTTCAAGTTAGTGACACGCTATATTGCTTCTGCATTCCCGAAGTTAAAATACAAAATTTTGGTGTGTAGATCATCGCTTTGGTGAGCTAACCCTTCTAACGCCAGAATCATGATAATTAGCAGAACATTTGGCTGTTACCTGAGCATGGTGGTGCTTAGTATATAGAGATGGGCCGGGAAAAAATGGCCGACATATGTTTTGATCATCATAGTCTCAAATATCTCTCATAACAATCTAAGAGACTTTTATATACACCTAACTTAGTTTTTGATATTTTCAAAAGCTATTAAGACTTTCAGTTTAGCCCAAAAATATCGTTAAAGTAGAGAATCGGCGAGTAGCTGATAAAAGTCTCTGTTATAGTGAAAGTTGCAGAATTATTTATGTTCTTGGTGCAAAACTATGAATACATATATACAATGACCAACTGTGTTATAGGTGGAATGGACGTGTATATAGAACCGAAAAAAATCTTGTTATAATGAAAAATAATGCATTTTATAAAATATTACTGCATTTTGTAAAACAAAAAATATTGAATACTTTAATATATAAAAAAATACTCGCCATCTACGCCAAACTGGTCTTGTTCATCATTAATGGCATTTATCATACTTCGCTGACAATATTCGAACATCACCGAGTTAGAAACTATAAGTCCTTGGTTGTTCACCTGTAAGGTCACTACGCCAGCTTCATGAGCTAGAAAGAGAAAAGTTTATGATTTACAATAATTTATGTCTCCCGTTAGGTCAACAGTAATTTTACTGACACATTGTGTAGCTTTGCACTAAGAAAACAACAACAATACTTGAATGAGCGTTAGATAAATAATAATAATAAAGAATAAGTTGGCACTTCTAAATGAAAACTTTTTTCTAGTTTTATTCATTTTGTGCGACGTTTCGAGCCTTCGTCGGGCATTTATCGAACAATAACAATAGTTTACTTGATAGTACTGCTTTGACTTACGCATCAAATGTAATTATATACGGTACCACACACACACACTACGAACTACAGAGTTCTGTCACCTAAACCAGGGGTCACCAAACTACGGCCCGCGAGGGCAGTTTATCAGCTGCACTGTGCCACAAATGAGCTAAAATATAATTATTTATATGGAAATATCATAG